TCCCTACATTATACAATACATATTCAAAACTGTGGTATACATACATAGAAAGACGTACAGATACATGTGCAAACAACTGGGGGTTGATTTTAGAATTATTTTGAAATATCAGGAAATATTTTTTTTAATTCAAAACAAAAAAGCTAAGAAATCTACAATGGTAAAAATCCATTTTCACTGTGAAACTAACAATATGTTGGTAGAACAGGGAAGTATCACAATACTCATGTTCTACATGTTTCTACACTGGAGTTTCAGTTATTATATATGAATTTCCCAGAGTCTGTCTTAAATTCTTATTATCTTTTTGTGTAAATCCAATCTTCTATTTTTATATAAAGTCTTACTTTTGCAGCAAGTGTCTCTGGAATATGCCTGAATTTTTGAGAAAGAAAAATATTATTCTTATACTTAAAAATTAATTTATCTCTAAAACTTGACATTTGCATTTCCCATGGGATTCAAAAGAACATTATAAATTATTTATTTCTAATTCTTTGTCAGGTTTTACTCTTCCTTAAGAAAATAGCCAAACCCATCTCATACCTTCAGGCTACTCCTGCTTAGGTAGCAAAACATTTATATCAGTGAATCAGGTAGTGTATGTGGTCCTAATTTTTCTTTACTTGTATGAAATTATATTTTTCCTATCTGTATTTGCACTGTTTAGTATCTCTGACTTTCTTAGCTGGACACTGACTTATTTATTACTTTATAAGAATTTGTTATTGATATATCAGAACTATACAAGTACTTAAGCTTGAATTTATCCTTAAACATGACTAGCCCTGTAAATCTCTTATCTCATTGTCTCTGTAATGAAATTAAAAGATCCACAGAACAAGAAGAATCTAGACTAAAACTCTGCCCCCAGTTACACCAACCTAAATGTAAAGAGTTCATGTTAGTTTTTCTTAATTTCTTTTGAAATTCAAAATATCTACAACAATTTTGTTTCAATTGCAGTATCCGTAGTTCCCAAACTTATACATCAAGCCTGTGTATATTCTGGGTCTGTTGCAAATCAAGAGATAGTTGAACTTTCTTTCATTTCAAATATGTTCAAATCTAGAGATGAAAAAATATTTGCATGATTTTTTACTTTTTTTTTTTTATACTTTTTATATGTCTTTAAACAAGTTTTGTATCAAGTGAGGGGTCAACGAATTCTTTTTGAAAATTGAGGTTTGTGAAAACTTTTGAAAAAAAAAGTTAAACTACATTCCATACATGTCAACAGAAGTTTGAGAAGTTTTTTCCAGTTCACAAATTTTCAGCTTCGGATAGTTGGAAAACTTCGGTTTATCTTCCTTTTTAAGCTACAGGAGAGAAGCAATTGGAAAGAGAAAATTCAGTGTATTTGACCATTTTTTGAAAAGTAGATGATAATGTCAGCTGTAATTGGTCAGACAAAGGTCTTTGAGACCTGTCTCTAATAGCTGACAAGTGTCAGATGCTTCCAAAAAGACAAGATGTATCCAGTCATTCTTCTCCTGTTAACCTCTCAGCTTCTTGGAAATCAACAATTTAGGACTTGAGACAGGTGCTGCCTCTGGACTGTTGTATTTAACATACGCTTCCTTCAAATCTTTATCTAACTTTTTTAGAAATTTAAAACTTTCCCATTTTTTTACAGGAAAATAAAGGAAAAAGTGGAAGAGGAAAAGAAAGTTTTAATAAATCTATCAAATTAATAGTTTGCATTCTTCCTCCTTTTCCAAAACAAAATCATTTTCAAGGTGCTCTCTTTATTGTCCCATCTCCAACATGTGGCTCTTTCAGTGATACCTGTAGGGATACACAAGCACAGTACTATTTTATCAAACATTCTAGACATTAAGAGAAAAACTTGTCATTATTGGAGGTAGACAGCAACTAGTACAAATGAGATTTTCACATAAAAATTAAGAACAAGTGACAACTTCTAATTTACATTGACTGTCTGTAAATACATTCCAAGACAAAAAGCTGTGTATTTCTAGGAAGGTTTGCAGAATTATACGCAACTGAATTTCCTGGCCTGTTTCCTATTCTGTTATTGCAGAGGGAAACCATACAAAGCTTAGGCATTTGTGCTTCAGTCCTTTAAATAAGATTAATTTTTTAAAAACTTAGAATACTCAAAGTCTTGGAGAATTTTAATGGGATAAATACCATGCTAGCTCCTACCCCAGTCCCGTGCACAAACCCTCATTAAAGTCACTAGAATGGGGTGGTGTAACTGAGAGTAGAATTTCGTACCGCTGAACCGATTTACAGCAGAAATCATTACAATCTGAATACCTTTCAAAATTAAAAATGATGCTGTTATTTTATAGTAATTCTGCAGTTCTGTAGAATAGGTAATTAACACTCATGTTCCAAACAATTATCTAATTTATTTAGCGAAAATGTGGCAGAATTAAGACACTGTATTAATGGAAAATTACTTTCAAAATACATCTCTATTGTACTGTAATGGAATCACTGACAGTATATTCCTAAATGTATTGGCCCTCTTTCCTATGCAAAAAGTTATTTCATCATTAAATGTCTTCAAGAATGTTTAAACTGTTAAATTTTGAACTGCCAAAAGTGTCTGGAGAGAATAACGATGTGCTGTTCCTATTTTCAAACTGTGTGTGTAGAAAATTAAAAATGTGATTTTTTAAGTCACTTGACAGGTTGAAATATTGAAGTATTAATAAATAGATGATGTTTTCAGATCAAATACATGAAGACATTTTGTGAAATATTTGTGCTACGAAATGATATATGGTTTCCTGTTAAGCCATGTATTTACTTCTAACTGGAATAACAACTTGACTTGTGATTTAACATTTTGTTGTGTTCTTGAAGGACCAATTCACTCTTAATGAGAGACTGTTCAGTCTGAAAGCAAAATGGTGGCCATGCATTTACTGCACCTTATGTACCATATCACACGTATGTTTATTCACATAAGGAATCTTCATTCACGTGATCAAGCACATTGATTTCTATAGAACTCACATTGGGACTTCTCATTGGAAAAAGACCTGAGGCTAAACGTTTAGTTTCAATTGCCTCAATATAAACAATTAAATTCATTTAAATGTGTTAGTTACCGAGGAGTATAAATACATATTTTGAAAAATAGGCTGCTATAAAAATATTTTTATGTACCATTATATAAATTGCTTACTGCGTAATGAAAAATTAATAATGAAATAAGCTTAATTTCTCTTCATTACTGTTCAGTAAAAAAAATAGTGGTTAATATGTAGTACAGAACTGTACACATCACATTAGAAATTGGAGACCTCTATGTATTTAGCAATGGGTTATTTGTTTTCTATGGACATTAAGGTATTCTTTCTTAACATTGTCTAAAATATAGTCCTATTACGACTTCCATAGATGTCCTTAATTTCATTTTACAATTCAATTAACTGTGGCAACTATGTACAAGTTAATTAAGTACCCATGTTCTTTAATTATTTATAGTTTAATTATTTTGTAATTGTTTTGCAAGTTCTTTGCATATCTAGGTTGTGGTAATGGTTACTGTGAATTGGCGCCACATTTAACTTTTTATTCCAACATTGTGCATTATATGATGTGCCAACTTGAGAAAGTACACTTGTATTTTTATTCAGCATTAATTGCCTATAAAATAGTGTGGCTGTCTGTGTGTATGTATGTTATTAGCTGTACATGCTGCCCAGCTGGCGCTAGGGGAAATTATTAACTGACATAAGGCAACAAGTTCCCAAGTGGCTATAAATTTCACAAGTAGGAATATAGATAGGAAGCAGCTTTCCTCTGAATGTGAAGATTTCTTCTGAAAGTTAGATATATCAGGTGCGTAAAAATTAGATAGTTTTTCAGTGTAATATTTTCATATATGTAGTGGTGAATAGATGCATATGCATAGTTCCTTTGAGGCGGTGCATCTCCTGCTACACGAGTTTTGGATTTCATGGCCGTTCATCCTGTAGTATTTTCTATCACTGTAATGAGTAATGTTCCAGTACTGATATTGTATCAGTATATGATACTGCTTGAATTAACTAGATTACACCCTTTAAAATAAGTGGCCCGTTGAACTGACTTGAACAGGGATCACTGTCATTTTATATTGTTTCTCATGCCTTGCTGGCAGTTTCTTGCAGTGAGCACAGTACCTCTCCCATGTGCAATATTCTCTTTATAGTTGTGTTTGTCAAGTTGTTTGTGCTGTCTCTCTGAACAGGGCTATTATAAATTATTAGTAATGCTTTTATCTATTTTTCCATAGACTTGTGTTTTACACAAAAATCAATAAAAAGTTAATGTCAGGTGTTTGGCTTTTTCTTTGGTGATTATGCATGATAAAATT